CTCCTGACCACCTATGTTCCTCTTCCCAGCTGGAGCCCAGAACATTAGCCAGCACCCTTCCCATAAGTGCAGTGCACAGGTGTGCAATCAGGTGCTGGCCACTATTAAACAATGGACCCAGGAATGGAGATTTCATCCCTCCCAATTCTCTTAGAAATCTCCCAGTTCCAGGATCACATGCCAAATCCAGAAATCCTGGGAAGAGCCACAAAGTCAGCTCTTTCCCAGTACAAGAACTTGCCTCCTGGAACTGCTCAGCCCCTCTGGCTGAGAGTCCTGGGTGACTACAACCCCCAGTTCTACCGTGGGATTGCCACACAATGCCATACTACATTTTATAAAATATACCTTCCTTCCTCATCCGCCAGTTCCTGGACCAGAGAAAAAGGTACAGATGTATGTATCCCTATTGCTACTCCTCTTGACTTACTCTGGGGGCAGTTACTAGTAAACCACAAAGAAAAATCTATTTTTCTGTATGATAACCAAGTGCTTGCTAAGTTTCATTGATGCCTGTGGGGCAGATTGAAATGAGGGATGATTTCTAATGGCACGAAGCAATAAAATGGCTCATGAAACAATGCTATCTGTTATATCATTCTTTTGACAAAAGTGGAGTTTTCTTTAATTGCTTAAAAATCTAGTGTTTAATAAAACAAAATTCAAAATAGCTACCTAAAATTGTAAGTTTCCTTATTTTGTGGTCTTGAACTGACCAGCATTACCACTGGGGTTTCATAGCTGTGTAGGATGATGAGAACAGTGCAACGGCCTCTTTACTCCATGAATAACCAAACTTAAAATGTGTGTGTTTCTGAATGACTGGTACTCATGAAGTGTATCTCTGTGTGGGAGAGCAATGACCACATTGCATTCTTAGCATACTATAACTTCCATTGTATGTACAGTTTTTTCTTTTTTAAAGGTTAGAAGTTTATTTAACATTTTTAACAAAAAAAGGTATACAAAAGAAACAAAATATCAGAAAAAAACATATCGAGACACAAGAAATGATACCAGAAGGATTTCAGTTTCATAGGCAAAAGATCCTATAGGAACACTTGTGTAAGTTATGCCAAACTGAGTAAACTTCCAACAAAGGTCCAATGTAGTAAGTGAGCAAAGAATTACTATACAGAAAGAACCTCACTTTGGTGAAAGTGTAGGTACAAATCTAGTTGAATGAAATAAAGGGAAGGTTAAAGCTCATGAAGAAAAAGGAATAATTAGAGGCGTTCTCTAAAGACTCATCTCTTCAGGAAAGCCTATCCCACCTCAACCTAACCACTAAACCATCACGTTCTAAAACAAATCATCCCCTCCACATGTATCACTTCTCCCTCCCTTTTACATTGTAAGCCGTCACGGGCAGGGCCCTCCTTACCATCTTGTCTTGAATTGTGATTGTAATGTCTTCCTTATATTGTGAAGTGCTGCACAAACTGTTGGCGCTACATAAATCCTGTATTATAATAATAGAATGGATCACGGGTTGGCATTTTGGGAAAAATGGATAATAGAATCTTATAATCGTTGATAGTTCAAGTAGGAGAACAAAGGGAACAGAAAAGAAGAAGGTGGGGATAGTAAAAAGAAAAGTAAAATGGGGGAAGGAAAAAGCAGAGAATAAAAAGTAGCAGGTAGTGAAACGGAAGACAGAAGGAAGGAGGACACCTGGGAGGTGGAAGGGAGAAGACCTAAAGTAGTTGGACAGGCATGGGTCTCGGAAGGAAGAGAAAGGATAAATATTCAATCAAAATTCTAAACTTGATGAAGCATCCAAGAGGTCCAGATGGCAGAGAATTGGAGGAATCTACTATAAAGTTGGGCAGTTAGTTCTTCCATGTGCATTAGTTTGTTAAGTTATTTAATCCATTCATTTTTCAAAGGGAGTGGAATCAAATTTCCAATGTCTGGGAAATACGGTTCTCACGGCACTAAGGAAATATCTCAGAAGGTCTTTTCTTTATAGATTTGAAGGACCCAGGGAGCATAAAGAAAAGCGCTACTAGGTGAGTAGGGGGGAGGTTAAAAATCATCACTTTCTCATAAGTGTGTCGAAAACAATATCCCAAACGGGTTTACATTTTACACAAGCAAAACAAATGACAAACGCACTCAACAATTTGTCACAAACTATACAGTAAGGTGCACACAAAATGGGCTTCAAACAGTAAACAGTAGAAAGGCATCATGGCACACTCACAAGTCAGCATGTAAAAACACTTGTCTCACCACTAAGATTAATAACAGAGGTTTGGATACACGTCTTCTGCAGAAAATGTGAAAGCCGCACAGCCGCGCCAAGGCACCTCTTATAGTGCGTTCCTAACTCTAAACTATGAGAGTCTCCATCTTGGAGCACATGGGGGCAGAAGATTTCAAATTGGGTGCAGGTTTGTCAGGAGGAAGCCCAACCTCCTTAAAGGCACAAGAACACACAAGGGATCCCGCACATCCCAATGGCAGCTGAGAAACCCCATGCGTCACTGCACCAAATCGGTCAAGCAAAACAAATGATAAACGCACTCAACAATTTGTCACCAACTATACAGTAAGGTGCACACGAAATGGGCTTCAAACAGTGACCAGTAAAAAGGCATCAGTGTGCCATGACAAACGCACTCAACAATTTGTCACCAACTATACAGTGTGCCACGATGCCTTCCTCCTGGCTTTTTAAACAATTTTTCACTCACTGTAACTGTACCCTACTGGCTTCGGAGTCCTGAAGCAAGCAGAGTGCATTGTACATTTGTAACGCACTTCTTTGCTTTATAAAAGTTCAGTTCTTTTCGTTTTTTTAAAGCAGGGTTCTGCCACTCAGTGCCTGATTTCTGCATGACCAACATAAACAATGGCCTACAGTGGCAGAGCTGCCGAGCATAACACACAGCCACTCACACATCATATTGCGGACTGTCAGTAACACGTTCCTGTGTATAATAAGACTGCCGATATGCCTGCCAATGCAATGCAGCTGGGTCCTCCTTGTTATCCCTGCACAGTTCATAGAACTTTAATAGTGGACTACATGTTCTTATATGTAACCCATGGTGGGTCCATACGTCTATGGCCAAACTGCTGGTAGGACACAGTTACAGTTTGCCCCACACTTCTATTTGTCATTTCTAGGTGGGATGATGCAGAGCAGATAAACTGTCCCTTTTGGCCCCTCGACCCCAGCCTTGCCTGCCTTGTGTGCATATGAAATTCCAACTTGTTAGTTTATTCTAAGACTAGCCAGTGGACTGTGGTAGGAGGTGGGGAGGGGGGACTAGCACATAACAGTTGGCCTAGGGGGTCAGAGAGTATAAATTTGGACCGGATACTTTATAAATTAATCCATAAGTGGACGATTGCCTTTTAAAACACCATGACTAGCTGACTAATGAATGTCTGTACAAAAGAAGTAATAAGATAATCGAAGCAACTTTATGCAGAACCGCATTGTGCAAGAAATCAGGGGAATTTTCAGCCATTGTTTACTGAGTAGCAAATTAAATAATTAGTTCCCTATTATAATATGTTGTCCATTGCCACAAGCTAACCTGTTATAATAGGGACACAAGGGCCTCTTTCAGTGGCAGAGGCGGATATTCAAGAGGAACTCAAATTCAGAGGGAGGTTTCATTTAATGCAAGAAATGTTCAATTTTGTACATGGCTGGCATGCATTGTGCCCCAACAATCAATTTTACTTCCTCAGTGAAATTTCTGTATAAATACATAGATTTAATTTTTCTCAAGCGTACTTTCATCTTGGTTTGTTAATTGGAATAAGTACAGTTTAAAGGTAGAATAAAACCTACCCGCATAATTGTTTTCATTTGGAATTTTTTTTCTACAGTATATACAGTATCTGATGCCTCTTCTCACTCTGCCCTCATCTGTCATTACAGAAAGTTTAATGCCACTTGCGATTCCGCCTTTCATTTTTTTCAAGCAAAGTATATGGAACCCCAATCAATTCACTTCTCTTATTTGCTCCCTTTTGGTCTGTTAAACATATACCGTTAAAATCGTTTTTGTATCTGTCTGATGCAAGAAATACATACTGATAGAAATCCAATGCTGTTCTGCGTCCTGTGCACTCTAAAGCATTGGTATCAGCCCTGACCAGTTCACTCTGTGGTCTACAGAACACCTCTCCTCCATATTTTGAGGAGAGGGTTAGGTGTTCTGTCATCCTACCACTCTTACTGTCCTAGGGGGACAATGCCTTTTCTTCATAGATACAGTTTAGTGGGTGAGAATGTTCACCCTAGGATAGGAGGGGTATTACTGGCAGGAGCACCAGGTGAAAATAAAGGGGGAAAAAAGCCTGAAAAGAGAAAAGAAATGAAGCTACCACATCTAGGGGCTGCTCTATATTAGCATTTGTCTTTGGGTTTCCTGCAGAGTGGCATTAACATCATCAGTTTATCTAGCTGTTCTGCAAATCACACAACCAAACTCTTCTTGTTTCCCTTCTCTGTAGTAGGTACGTGTTGGTGGAGGGCACAATTCCAGAGTAGATCCAGAGGACTAAGGAAACTAACTTCCAAAGGCAATGCTCTGTTGACCAGGTTATTCCAAAGGGTCCCTGGAGAAGTCTGTGGAGCATTTGATGGATGAGGTGCTGCAAAGCTTGATTGAGTCCAGTAACATTCAGGCACATAATTTACAATCAAACCCATTTCAGAGCTCAGAACATCCTCTTCATCAGGGCTCATTTGCTGCCAGTGAATTCAGATATGTACTGGACAACTGTTGCAAACTGATACAGATAGCATGAGATCCGGGTTGCCAAATGGCAGCCTGGAACAAACCTGAATTTACTACCAGCACACCAACCCTGATGAAGAGGGAGTTTTGAGCCCCTAAAATGCATTGGCTTTCTTAAATCTTAAACTTCAAATAAAAAAAATAGCTAAAAAAAAATCATTGACGAATTGTAAAGACAAAGACAAATCCTGGGCTAAACACATGAGAATTGAGTCTGTCACCCTCCATGCTCACCTTTCTGTCCTTTGCCACAGTCAAAGCTGTATCGTTGTGGCAGTTTTTTATGCTGCCATCTGCACCGCTCTTTAGAAGTAAACGTGTGATCTCAGCAAGGCCTCGTCCACTTGCCACATGCAGAGCTGTATTTCCAGCGTAAGTCAGCTGATTGACATTGGCGCCATGCTGTGAGTAAGCAGAGAGTAGATTTAGGAACTCTAAATTGTAACAAGTTAGATTGAAATGTAAAAATGGAAACACTAATATACACTGATCAGCCATAACATTATGACCACTGCGAGGTGATTGATTGACACTGATTTTTTTACAATGGCACCTGGAAGTGGGTGGGATATATTAGGAAGCAAGCAAACATTCTGTTCCTGAAGTTGATGTGTTTAAAGCAGAAAATATGGGCAATTATAAGCATTTAGGCCACTTTGATATGGCAAAATTGTGATGACCAGACGGCTCGGTCAGAGCAACTCCAAAACTGTAGCTCTTCCCGTTCTGCAGTGTTCCCGTTCTGCAGTGGTCAGGACCTACTAAAAGTGGTCCACGGAGGACCAAGGAGTGGTCCAAAACTGGTGAACTGGTGACAGGGTCATAGGCGGCTAAGGCCCATTGATGCACGTGGGGAGCAAAGGCTGGCCCGTGTAGTCTAATCCATTAGAAGAGCTACTGTAACTCAAATGGGTTGGTGCCAGATACCATAGCATAATTTCAGAGGTCTAGTGGAGTCCATGCTTCAAAGGGTCAGGGCTATTTTTGGGGCAAAAGGAGGACCTACTCAATATTAGGCGGGTTGTCATAAAGTTATGGCTGATCGGTAGATTGTAATACAAGAGCTTAAATAAAGCCATTATGGCCTATTAGATTACACACCACAAATATATGTATTATTTGTTGTTCAGATTTGGAACTGATCCTGGCCAGCTCTTTCCTGTGCCATCTCCTCCATCTGGCAGCATAAGAACATAAGAACTTTCTTTTCCTTACCGTCATCTACACTATGTTTGCAATCATAGCTTGATGGATTAAAGGAGAACTATGGGGTCAGTGTTTTTCCCCATAGTTCTCCTTAGGGTAACGGGAGGACACAAACTAGCGTCCTCCCATTACCCTAAGCTCAGTATACCGCGAGCTACAGCTCGCGGTATACTGAGACGCCGCAGCCGAAGCGGATCCCAAACCTGGAAGTCGGGATCCGCCCAGCTGCGTGAGTGACAGCTGGCTCTGCCTATCTAGAGGCAGAGCCAGCTGTACCCGCCCCCTCCCCCGTCCGTTCTGCCAGTCAGCGCTGGCAGATCGGAGTGGGGAGAGGGGAATCCAGCCCCTCCCCCTGTCACGGCAGAGAGCCGTGAGAGGATTGAGAGGTGAGCGAACCCGATATGTGTTCGCTCACCTCCCGATCTACTGAGCCGACCTGTGACAGTCTCATTCTGTAGTTAAAATAGCTGTAACCTGTTTATTGCCTTCCGTCAAGTGTCTAATGAAATAATGTTGTCTTTGGGGAGACCTACAATATCCTGTGTACCATAAAGGAGGAAATGCTGGGAGGGGGGCATTGTAAACTTGGTACTGAGCACACTGATGCCCAGCTTACACCAGGGTCAAGGGCACAAGTACAGGCCTTTAACACCATTTGCATCCTCAGAAGGGGTGCAGAAACCTTGGCCCATACTAAAGACCCTGCAAAGACAAAAAAAAGCTAACTTTCTTTTTTCCTTTATGCTTAATTCAAATAGGGTGGTGCTGGTACTCCTGATGAGAATCCACTTACTCAATACTACATTGCTGATTTCCTTGTATACAGAATACTTTTGGTTCAACCATAAGAAAGGGTCAGAGTAAAGTTCAATTTACTGGTAACATTCTGTTACATTTTCACATAAAGCCACTCCTGGCAGACATTTTGATTCATTACTGTTCCTTGGAAGTTTGCAAGAAAGTTACAATGAAATAAATTATACTACTACTTAGCAGTTGTACAAAGCACAGCAATAGATACACAGGTTCCACAGACTAGCACCTACATGCTAACCAAACATAGTAACAACTAAAAGCAATAGAAAGAGGGCCCTCTCCATATGAGCTTACAATCTACCCAATCTAATAACCAGCACAGAGTAGAAGTGAGTATTGGGTTAATTTTTAATTTAGGTTGAAAGCCCTTTATAACACAGTCTATAGATTCACTGCTATATATGACAAATAAATGGTCTTGCGTCACATTTTAGCAATATGTTTACACCTTTTTAAACTAATGCTTTATATAGTATTTTCATTTATATACAAAAACAGCTTTGCTTTTAAAGCAGAGGGCACTGGGGAGACTTGTGTTGCAAAAAAACATTGTGAGCTTTATAAAAAGAGGGAATAGCTCTCAACTTCTTCCTTTGTGACTGCCTGTCTCTAATTGAAACTCTATTCAGAGCAAAACAGAGGAGGAAGGAGTTGTGGATGAGTTTTCAATAAGTCATTCAGGTCTAAGGGTTAATATTTATCTTTGCAAACATCAGGCTTTTTTCAGCAAAGCAGCTGCGGTCAGCCAGGTAAACACACGATAAGGAGCATATAGTACCATCTGCTGGCAGGAAATAGTACTTCTAAAAAAAATTGTAAACATTTGTAGCCCCTATATAATATACATATATGTGCTATCACAGCTACACATTATCTTTAAAAAAAAGAGAATACCATTTTTATTTAAATAAATAGATTATTAATTAACAAACAAAAATATTGTAAATTCCTTGTTAAAACTAAAACTTTTGAACAAATAAGGTTTATGTTGGTTACTTTGAAGGAACCCCGTCAACAAACCTCAACAACAATCTTCCCATAAGAGTATGTGTTGTAGGCATGTTTTTTTATACCTGTTAAACCCTCTGTCATCCAAAAGCTCTGAGACTGCTGCTGGATGCGGCCATCTTGGATATGAAGTCAGCAGCCCCAGGAGACTCAGAGCTGTCATTCATGTGACATTCTGTAGTACTTCCCTAAGCTTCTCCCCTAGCATCTGCGTGAAAAGTTATGGTTGGGGGTGAGGGGAAGGGTAGAGGAAGTGGGCCGAAACAGACAGAAATTAAACACTAGACATGTGCAATTTGTTTCGTTCCGAATCAAAATTCGTACAAACTTTCTGAAATGTAGACATTCAGACACATCCGAATTTCCGAATCCCAATACATCCGAATGTGTCCGAATCCGAATTTCCGTTTCCGAATTTCAGATCCCATCTAATTTCTTTCAAAAACGAAACTGAAACAGACATGTGACTATTCTGGCCAATCAGATGTGTTTTTCAGTTTAATGCATCCGATTGGGTCTGAACACAAATTTTTGTTCTGGCAACATGGGAGCCATATACAGTATATACATATAATACTAAAGCTGAGGCTCCTAGACCCGAATAGGAATTCGGGATCCAAATTTACGAATTGCCCGAATGGCATTCGGGAGCTCCCGAATGCAATTTGGAAATTCGGATCCCGAATCCTATTCGAGTATGGGAGTCATATACATATATTACTAAATCTGAGGCTCCCAGACGCGAATGGTATTCGGGAGCTCCCGAATGCAATTTGGAAATTCAGATCACTAATGTAATTCGGGTCTAGGAGATTCAGCTTTAGTATTAATATCTGTATATGGTTTTCTGTGGTATTCACAATGAATATTCGTAAACTCATCCGCAAACTAACGCAAATTCAGATTTCGGCCGAAACCAGAACCCAATTGAATTTCCAATCCAAATCCAAAAATAACGAAATATCGGAACCGAACAGAATTTTTCCGCAGCTAACATGCCTATTAGACAATCTCAGAAAATGCTACTATGTGCAAGGAGGGAATGGGTGAGCTAGGAAACTGACACTTTAGGGTGTCCTTATAAACAATTCACAGAGCCATTCAGCAATTGTTCTGTGCAAATGGAGGCAAAAATTAATGTTATTAGCGTATTTTCTTTCCAGATTCCAGAATGTAATATCAGGTAAATACTTCATTATGGTCACTAGATGAAGCTGAGAAACGTGGAAAAGAAGTTTGTGTTCATTCCTTTTTAAAGCCGGTTGCACTCATTTCACAAAATAGGAACATTTGCCATAGGCTCTCTGTAAATGAAAGCTCTCGATTTTGCTATTCTGTAATTTAGTTATCCTGAGAGGTCTACTTCCTGCAGGTCCACCTAAGTATGTTCTTCTCTTGCTATTGACAGAACAGGTTCTCTGTATTGCAAACCTTATGTTACCTTTCAGCTGGCCTGAGGCAATTCACAAAAAAGACAGGAGGATGTTTTCATGTATTTGCTCATAGGTGCTGCTTTGGGAAGGAAGTACATAGCTATTTACTGGGACAGTCCCTTCATGGCCTATGACTTAATTTCCTGTATAATTATCTCCACCATTGTACCATGTTGATTTTCCCTGATCAATAAAGGAAGCCAAGAGCATGAATGCTTCAACGTTATCTTCAGGGTGAGAATTATTAATCGTATCATTATTTATAATACAAAATCCACAACAAAACACATTTTGTGCAATGCTGTTATCAGATCTGCCCTTTGACCTGCTGTATTTGTTTCAGGAACATTATAACCTGCTGGTCATCTCATTGCTTCCAGTAAATACAGCATTTTATTGGAAGATGGCTGGCCCAGATTAAAAGATAAAGAGGGAAAGCTGTGTCATGAAGCTGTGCATGACAACGAATCAGCTTCTCTCTTCATTTTGTTCAGTTAAGCTTTGAAAATGAAAGGTGGATGCTGATTGGTTGCCATGCGCAGCTGCTCCAGTTTTTCTCTGGTCCAGTTTTGATAAATTCCTCTCAAAATATTGTGGGGGGAATTTATAAATACTGGAGCAGACATAAACTGGAGCAGCTGTGCATGGCAACCAATCAGTTTCTATCTTTCATTTTCAAATCTTAGCTGAACAAACTGAAGAGAGAAGCTGGTTGGTTGCCATGCAAGGCTGCTCCAGTTTTTGTCTGCTCCAGTTTTGATAATTTCCCCTCTTTTGTATTTAATGAAGACGGTTTGGACTTAATGAGGGTTAGAGAACCTCTGTTAGGTTCTTACGGCTGTAAGTGCCAGAACAGGAAGCGAGAGAAAATCTAGCCAATGAAGGCAATGGAAATCTTAAATTTTTGTCCCGCCAGAGTGAGGAAGGTTTAGAACCTCTGCCAGTTTTTATGGTTAGCTGTGACCCAATGAGTGAGATTTCCATGTATTTCCTGTAAAGCTGACAGGTGGTAGAACAGGAAGAGAAGACAAAAACGAAGAAAGAGAACACAACATTTAAAGCCTGTCAAAAATTATAATTCTAAAGGAACATTTTTGGCTGAAGTTAAAGTTAACCTGCACCCAGACTATGGACACTAAACTATTTACATATTCTTAAAGTGGACCTTCAATTCCATGCTTTGAAAACCCCCCACCCCTCCTTCAAGTTAAATTGCTGTTCCATGAAAACAAAAGGTCAGTTCTGTAGGAAGCCTCCCACCCTACAAAGTCAAATTGTTTTTCTATAAGAATGGAAGGTCTGCTCTGTTGAAGGCGCCTTTTCATGACAATGGAAGGTTCCCAATATTGAAAGCCCCTACCCCCAAAAATCTTTTAATGTGAAGTCATTTATTCTAAAATACTCTTAAAGACCACAACAAACATTCTAAATTCGGGGTTTCATTTAATTTACAAAAAACTCAGAAACACTGGCTGTTTGCATTAGAAGGCAGCCGGCCAAGATTCCAGCGCAACAGAAAGTAATAGGAAAAAGCTAAGACTTTAATACCGTATTTGCTAGCGTATAAGATGAGTTTTTAGACTTAAAAACATCCCCCGAAAATTGGAGGTCGTCTTATATGCCGGGTATACAATCAGCTCGCTGGATTTGCGGTAATACTGTATGTACGGTAGCTTCGGCTACATACAGTATACCGTGCTGAGCCAATCACGGTGAGTGATGTATTCTATTAATGAATACAAAGGATTGGAAGAGGTTGTGTACATTGCTCGCCGTGATTGGCTCAGCATGTTATACGGGACGAAACCCGGAAGTTGGAGGACACAGCGGGGATCGGGTTATACGGGACGGAATAACATGGCGTGTTATACGGGACGGAACCCGGAAGATGGAGGACACAGCGGGGCTCATGGACAAGGTAAAAAACTGTAATCCTGAGTGTGGCTCGGGGTTACCGCTTATGTTACTGAAAATTGACCCCGAGTCACACTCGGGAATACCGCCATGGAGGTTACTGGGTGTATTTAAACATTATTTTGGCTATACTTGTCTTATATGACGAGTATAGCCCAAAATCTATGTTTTAACAGAAAAATTAAATTTCCGCACAATTTTTACAGCTACAGAGATGAATGATGCCTTGTTTTAAGTTGCTTATACTGCTTGCTCATAATATGTAAGTACTTTGATGTGTATGGTATGGACACAGGTTCGCTTTAAGGATTTAAGACCAGTTTCATCCTAAATTTATATTTTTGTTCTGGGTGATCATTGCTAAACTGAACTATATAATGCATACATCCTTAGAACATTCAGGTAACAAGAGTGCCTCACATCTGTGACCATAATATGGCCAAATAATGATGTCATATATTCCCTAATATGGATAAATAAGTAAAGGGATAAACCGATAAGAACGTGTTGCCAGCACACCATGGGTCCGTAGGGAATAGTCCAAATGTTTATTGAAGTAATCACATCACAGTGGCATTGCAACCTTTCAAGGCCAAGCAGAACTTCTTCATTAGGCATGTGCAATCACTTCAATGAACCTTGGACTATTGACTGTGGCTCCAGTTGCTAGAGTACCCTCTAACTTAGGCCCTGGACCAGGAGCATGTGCAATGGGAATATTTTCAGTGACACAAGGTACCCAACTTTTAACACCATTGCAACTGACTCAGCAGTGACTGAAGTTGCAAACTGTTGCAGGACAACTCAACACTGGAAGACCAACTCAACACTGGATGACCAAGATAAATAATTGGTAAATACGTTTTTATAAGACTATCTATCTATCTATCTATCTATCTATCTATCTATCTATCTATCTATCTATATATATCTATCTATCTATCTATCTATGTCATATAAATGATAGTTTTTGCACTATATACCATTGCCTCTTGCCAAGAACACCACCACTGCCCTTGTATCTGAAACAACAGGTTATAGGACAAAACTTTCCAGAACATGTCCCCCAAAACTTTGGTTTGGTTAGAAGAAAACCCAGAGATAGCTTGAGTAGGCATACAATGAGTAAAATCAAGGTACTTGAGAATGAGGTAGAACTCACTTGAATAAGTAGGGACACCAGCTCCTCCTGGCTGCTTTCCACCACTTGGATCAATGGACTTTGTCCACTTTTTATATCCTGAAAGGCAATGTCACCACGTTAATGAAGAACTATGGTCTAATTAAAGAGTTATATATTCTTACAAAATCACTAAATAAAAGCATGACTAAACTAAAGGCATTTTTTTTTTTTGGAACGGAATGGAAGAGGGTTGAAGATCTTTTGTATTTTTATTGCTGTTTTTGTCCCCTACTGGGTGGATTTCCTTTATTTCATGTCACTGGAATGGAACGAGAGGGTAAGTCTCTTTAATGGAGACATAAAACAGCAGCAAAAACACCTTTTTAGTAATGGCCATTGGCCCAGAATATCTGTTAAGTTCTTACACTTGTCTTTCACTTCCTGTCCCACTGACATCCTGTCAGTCCCAGGTACAGGAGGCAAAGCTGAATCTACCTGAATGGTACCAGTAGTGGGAGCAGGCTGCCAGGAGCCCAATATCAGCAAAGAAAAAATGTCGAAAGTACTGAATTACTTTTCTTTTTTTCAGGTTTTGTTTAATTCCAGTCTTGTAATAAACATGCATCTGATGTGTTTCCCTTCTAGAGGGACAGCATCTTTTCCAATATGTTACTAACAAGGAAGTTTTGTTCAGGAAATTGCTGGGGATGCCTGTAAGTTGACTTCAAGCTCAGTGCTGACCTTGGGAAAAAGCAGTAGGCTATTTAAAAAACAATGGGATAGGAGTTATGGCTGTCCATGATTGGACATTTTAATTCTTACACACTTGTAGGACACCATAGCTTTCTGCAGATTTCAAATAACATTAAATGACAAAATGGTGGGAGAGGGACATTACACACACCCATGCCTATGGCTTATTAGTAAAGATGAGCTCAGGTCTGAACATGGAAGAAGCCCCTCCTCCTGAACACGGAAGGCCACCCACTCAGCTGCCGATGGGGAATGCCCTACCCATTACTTGACGTGAGCAAAGAAGCTGAATGCAGTGACATCATTGACCTTATACATGTCTATATGAGGCAAATTAAATTGACCTAATATGGCTCGGTGGCTATATTAGGTAAATGATGTCAGCACAACCAGCCCCTTTGATTACATGCAGCTGCAAGGTGGGGAATTTACCATACCACAGCTGATTGGTGGAATTGCCCATAGCACCTCCTTGTTCAGAAAAACTCAGGTTCAGACAGGGTTAGGTCCAAACCTGAACTCACCCCTTCTTATGAGAGATAAAATGGCGATCAGACATGGCTTCTCAACCTGTTTGGTTACTTTTCTCTCACAATGAGCCTCAGCTTGGGGAGGTAGGGACCTTAAGGGCTAGAGGGCAAATGCCAGCATTGCCAATATAACAATAGTACAAGCAATGTTTACAGTGCCTCACCATATGGACAGAAGATTAGGGTGCATTAGGCATTCAAATATATTTTACTATGTTGATAACATGTTTAAAGGAGCTCTTTTACATGAGTTTTCAATTTGCTGTGATGCAATTGTAAACATTAGGCCTGGAACAGAAAATGAAACTAAGTGAAAGGCCATTGTGACCAAGGCTTGCAGTAGAGGCTGTGGTCATAGCAAGGTTCAATGTATGCTTATGTAAGGGAAGCCCACTAATCTGACTGAAAGGGTAAAGTTACATTGGTGGGATCTTGGCAATCTGGGCAGAGAAAAGTCTTGTCTGTAGATTAGTCAAAGCTTTGCCAACATCTGACAATTTTTTTCCAACCCTTCCTTCTCTAATCCCTATTTTATTCCCCCGAGTTGCATCTAATGGCAGTTATGCTGGCCAGAAGGTTTATACTTGATCCCCACAGTAAGCAGAAGTAACCAGAGATCTGCTGGCTTTTAAAAAAAATGTTTTAGAAGCAAACAAAAATCCTGTTGGGTTTGGTACCCCATAAATGACATCGTACCACTGCGTTCACATCAGCTCCGTGCTTCAGCAAACAAAGCGTTAAGTCCCTGCGTTCTGTACTGACAGCTATGTGCAATGCGGTCATACCTAAAGGGGCAGACAAAACAGAAAAGTTGAGTGTCACAGAGAGAAGGCAGATAAAGGGATGCATTTAAAACACAGCTGTTATAAGAAATACTATGTAGGGTGCCATTGTTAATCTCCTGAAAATGATAATTGGCTGGCTTTCATACTAAACCAATGGCTTTGCTACTTTCTGAGTCACTACTTGGGAAAAGTATTTAGATCAGGAGTCCTGCCTTTAAAATTTGTATGCTTGTTCCAGGTCACAGGCTCAGAACGTGTTGAAGTAGAGATAGTTAGACAACTACTATTCTCTGAAAGAGATCAGCAATGGCAGACTCTTATGTTTATGTTCGTACATCGGTCCTTTAGAGTGCAGTAGTCGTATTTTTCTTGAAAAAGTCACAACTCTTCATTCAACAACTACTGCCATTATGTTGTTTTCAGAATCACCTCTTTATACAGTTCTGTGACTGTCTTATATGCAGCTGGCACAGCCAATAACAAAATACCTGGTTTAAGAACATTGCTGGATCAAGAAACCACATAAAGATTGATAAGATAGTGCTATTTAAAGAGATGCTGTCACTTTACCTATACAGGGCAAGGTGACCGTGTCTTTGGAAAGGGCCCCTGACCCCCATACATTCACCTATGTTCCCTCACAGCTCCTTGCTCCTACACAACTGGTAAGAATACTTGGGACTTTTGGGTATGGAGTAGCATGTGACCTGCTCCCCTGTGATGGTGCCGGGCCCAGAAGCCAATTGCTAGGGTTGAGCACTATCGCATGATTGGGGATTGATGGTTTCTCTGCAACGTAGAGACAGCAAATCTCAGCACCGGCTGCAGAGGATGATGGGAAGTTGGCATAGATAAGAGCATAGATAAAGTGAGTATAAGGGGGTTGGAGATGACCTTTCCAGAGACACTGTCACCTTGGCCTTCAGGGCCAAGGTGACAGTATCTCTGTAATAAGACATTGTAATATATGTTGTGTAACATGTGGTAACCTAGAGCAGCCAATTTCCTGAATTCAGATCAGGGTAATATGAAATCTGACTGGTTTCCAAGGATAATTGGGTTTTTAAATTACCAATGCTTCTTGCCTCATCAAATCAGCCCAATTTTGGATTATTTCAACAATAAAATACATTATTATAAATTACATTTGGTAATATGACATAAACTCATACCCTCATAGTTGGTGGCCTCCAGGTCTTTGGTCCCAACTCTCATCAGAACTTCTAGGCAGGCAATACTTCCATATTCACACGCCAAATGAACACAAGTCTGTCCGTTGCGGTCCTGAATGCTGGGCGAGGATCCATGTTCTAGTAGGAGGCCAACAAGGTTTGGCTGATTGGTGATCACGGCAAGGTGGAGGGGTGTCTGAGATGAAACACAATGGATACCATTAATCTGTGGTGTCAATGTGAGTGCTCAGAATAAGAGATTTTGGACCATTTCTAATTTCCATTTGGCCCTACGTGACTGGGGCCATTTCTACATGGCGACTTTCTGCTGTGTCAACCAAACAGGAAGTCAAGGGAAATCTACCCAATGAAACACACATGGCAAAAAAACCTGACAGAGGTTTTAACTAGGAATGCACCGATACCAGTTTTTTAGTAGCAAGTACGAGTACCGATATTTGTTTTTCGGTACTCGCCGATACCGAGTACCAGTGCATTGTGCCCCGATTATCAGGAAGTCAGGCAGCGGATCGCCCAGCTTCCTGATTGCCTGTGAAGTCGGTGTTCACTTGTTCCTAGGCAGCCTTGCTTCCTAACCTATCAGGAAGCTGGGAGGCACGTATTGACCCACCTCCCGGCTTGCTGATTGGTCATGAAGCCAGGCTGCCTGGGAACAAGTGAAGCCGGCTTTCTTTCCAATCAAGAAGCCGGGAGCTGGGTTATGACCTGCCTCCCTGCTTCCTGATTGGCTAGGAAGCCGGCTTCACTAGCTCCATTGTACCTTGGCACTCAAAGTTCTGGTATCGGGGGTAAGTATCGGAGCATTTAGGCGATACCTGTATTGATGCATCCCTAGTTTTAACCTTTCCTACTCTATCCAAAACTAAAACAAAAGGCTTTACATTAGGATACAGTACACTTTAAAGTTCAATGAATTAGGCAGAACTACAATTAGTAAGGAGCAAGATATTTGCTAATTGAAGAGCGATAGGTCTGACTCAGCAGGGGAAAGGGTGTCAGACCTCTGCAGAGAGACCACTGCTTCCCTGCAAAGAGCTTCTCTACAGCATGATGGCATGGGCAGGCTTTCTGCATAGCTTTTGTTTTGCTGCACCTAGAATGTATTTAGTTGATTTAAACTGAACGTTCAATTAGGCGTTAAGTGTTTGTCTCTTTCCAAGGCAATCCATTATATAGTAAAAGATTAACCCTTTTATCTCCTACTTCCTTAAACACAACACAACCCCACACTCATGCAATATTCTCATACTAATATCACACCATTCATCCACGTGAGCTACTTTGAGTTTCATTTTAAGAAAAAAATTGTGAGAAGCTCGCAGTGTGCAGGGAAATCAGAGTAAGCAATGCCGGGCCAGGAGAGGAGCCGGTACAACTTTGCAAGACTGAAGAGGAGGGCCGGAGTTCAGCTTTAAAGTGATATTAAAGTCAAAAGGTTTTTAAGCTATTTCAAATGCTGATTAAATCACTTACAATGGATGCTGCTCCTTGATGTTTAAAAGTTTTAGTTTCCTGAAAAATCAACTGATCTTGATATCCTGTTTTAGGGCAGCTCCATTCCCCTGTGGGGTCCTATAGAGCCACCCTTGTGTGTGCTAGTAAGCATAGCCAGAGGCAGAGCAAAGCAAGCCATTTCGCTGCTTCCCCACTCCCTTCTCCAAGCTAGTTGATGGACATCTGCTGGAGTCTGCTCTGTCCCTTGTGATTTTGTACTGGAGAGGAAGTTCGGGGAAGGAGAGCTGAGAGAGTTGGAGCTGTTTGGAAACATGATGACTGTAAGTGCTTTGGCAAAAATGTAAAGAAACACTTTGCTGGGCAATGTATATTTGTGTGATCTGGAATCATTATTGAACACAACTTTGCGAGCAGAATAACACGTGAAGTCTAGCTGTTTGCATGAGGAACGCAGCGGTTCACTATAACACAGTTACAATGATTTACATTAAGCTGAAACGTTTTATAAATATATCTGAAGGGTAAAAACAATCCTCCAGTTCTGCTTTAAGAGACAGCAGAATATTGGTTTATATGACGAAAGCCGCCTGTGTTATATTAGTTCGCTCTCCGTTCGTGACTCGAGTGCGAGTCTCAGACGCAGTTCTGCAGGAGAGGTCAGGAGGAAGTGAAGAGAAAACAGAGAGGGGGGATCCCCCGAGTCACATGACTTCCAGCAAGAGCAAAAAACACTAAACTAACTACAAAGAGCATTTAGTAAGTTACATAGATTAATCAGCGCTGTGCAGTACATGCAGCTAAATCGTTTTGTTTTTTTCTGACACAGTTGGTAATGTTGTGGAAAATGAGGTTAAAAGAAATGTAAAATGCCGTGGAAAAAAATTAATTCAAATGTTTTACGTTTTATTGCAGAGGCGATCACTAATTTTAAAGGGCACCTGTCATAGGCTAAGAAACAAAGGGACTGATCAACCCTGATAGGCGTTTGTAGAGGAATGCGGCACATCTGATTTTGGCGTGCAGCATTTCATATAACTATTATGTTGCAGCGTGTACACGCCAGATATTGAGGAACCAATTTATTTTGGTGCAGAGTGTGTGACGTCTGCGACAAGTAACATTTTGGGATTTTTTAAACGAGCCCCACTGCAATCCATCCTTGCAGTGGGGCTAACCCCCCCCCCCCCTCCTCCTCCCCACGCACGCATAGGTGCACTATAACAACCTATCACACTGTGGGGCTGCCAGCATCCTAGCAACTAATGGCACCGTTTGTTGGTGTCCTAGCAACCAAAGACGCTGTGCAGATTGCACAGCGTCATTGGTTGCTAGGACACAGTTGGCCCTGGAATCGGTTTGCTTAGACATCGGCTGAACCCGGATTTCTGTCTGGGTTTGGTGATCGACCAAGCGACCTGAACCAAGGCATGTTTGGTTTATAACTTATCATACATCCATATGCTGAATGTCTCAAGCTCCTTTCATAATTCATGAATATAAAATGTGTTTTGTGATGCCAAAACTGAATAAAAATGTACTTTAAAATGAATAAAAATGTCTATTCCTCTATACTGTAAATGTACATTGCTGCATATACATGGGAGTAAGATGGTGGTGTCAGTTACTATGACTGCGTAGGAGGAAGACAGTGCAGTGTTGCAATTTGTTTCCGATATGTCTTATTTCTACAGTATGCATTGTTTCCAATACACACTTGAGTAGTTTCTTTGTTATGTACATTAAATAATTAGCAAAATGGCACTTTTTAGTACAATTAGTATTAGTATTCCTCAGTAGCCACAAAGGATATAAAGCTGCCTTTGAAAACCTGGATATTACTTTGAAGAACATCAACATCACTGCTGTACATAGCAGGGATCCCAACTTGAAATACGTCATTTCAGGGAGGTGCCCTTCTCATTTCAGGGAGGTGCCCTTCTCATTTCAGGGAAGTGCCCCCTGTCACCCCTCCTCTTTGCGGCTATTTCAATTTGCAATAGCCAATAGAAAGCTGGCTATTGCACTCGGCCTCTGCTGCTGTCAGTCAGATGGAGAACTTCAGGACCACCTCTGCTGATTGACAGCAGTAGTGGGTGCGTGCAATAGCTAGTCTGCTATTGGCTATTGCAAATTGAAATAGCCGATAGCAATCTAGCTATGCATTCCTATGCCTTTTTTTTTTTTTTTCTGACTGAAGGCGGCCAGCAGCCCTGATGTCAGAAAAAAAAAAAAAAAACAGACAGCACGGAAAGGTTTAATCCGCAGAGTAAACCTTTCTGGGAGAAAATGTTTCTCTCCCAGGTGTCCGGGAGCCGCTATGTAATAGCGGGAGATTCCCGGAACATCCAGGAGAGTTGAGATGTCTGGCATAGCCTGTGCAAAGAGCAGAGCTGTGGGAGGGGCCAGCAAGCTCCACACACTACAGGAAATGACAGAAGGGGGCGGAGACAAGACCAGTCACACACACTAGGAGAGATGACAGCAGTGAGCAGTCTTTATTACAGGAAACTCCAAGTTTCACACTATATTACTGCACAGATCTGGAAGAAATACACAAACCACACCAAGATTCAAATAAGAACACATATGGCTCTTGTATTTAGACAAATCCTGGATATTGAAATAAGTCAGGTTCATGGCTGGCGGGGGGCTGCTGCTATTTCATTCTGTGGCACTTTTTAAGTATCATTTTCAAAATAATTAATATTTGCTGATTGTGCTGCTTTGAGTTCTGCAGAATATTGTAGCAGAATTTTCATATTAAAGAAGAACTCTGGGCATATTAAGAATTAACCTCAGTCACAACTCCTCCAGCAATAAAACCTTAAAATGGTTCTAACCCTATCCTACTCTATGCAAAATTTTAACTGAAACCAAATGTATATCCCAAACTTTTTTTTTTTTATATGTTAGATGATCACTTTAAAGGGTATATTTAAAAATCCTCTTCCCGGCTATATGCTGGGCAAATGCTGTTTGTCATTCCTACCACTAGATGGAGCCGGGGAGTAAAGGAATTTTCCATGCTCTTTGCATGGCATTTCCACCACTAGATGGAGCCAAACAGCATTTGCCCAGCATATAGCGTGGAAGGAGATTTGTAAATCGGCTCCTAAGTTTTAGGGTAAGGTAAGATAAAGGTTATGTGTTATGGCCAGGTTGGATTGTAAGGGCTAAAGGGAACTTGTGCTATACCCATGCCCATGTATTCAGCCTTTTCATTGTACTTCCAGGCAAAGACTGCTGATAAAGCCATTTTCACTCCAGAAGTTTTAGTTTAAAACTGTGGCTTGCATCTCCTAGTTTTTTAAAAGGTATATTTCATGGAGTCAAATGTTTTCAGGTGAATTCACCGTGCAACGTGATTCTAACCTTCTGACCGCCTATGCTGCATCAAGCTTCTTCAAATTGCTTTTGCATCCCTATTGACTTATATGTGGAAAAAATTAGTTCTTACAGGGTGCTTTAAACCTTCTAACCTTCTTCTGACCTCCCTTTGAGCAGTTTCTAATGCTCTTCTATCATGCGTCAAACTGCTTCATGTTTCTTTTGCATCCCTAGTGTGGACAAATAAATGTTCTTTCAAGGTGTTTCTAGTCTTCTAACCTTCATGTGACCTATGGCTGACCTCCTTTTGACCAGTTTCTGACCTCCTCCTATGTTGTATCAAACTGCTTCATGTTGCTCTTTTTTACCCATTGACCTGCATGTAAAAAAAAGGAAGTTCCAATGAACTTCCGCTAAATATATTTTGATGAACAATTGCCCGGCCGTTACACAAGTCATTGATTGGGCTTATTATTCCACCTGGATGGAGGCTGCTAAGAGTTTACAAGAAGATGGGATTTTGTATAAAATATTTACTAGATGTATACCAGACACTTACCTGGCGGAGTTTATTCATTATATCCAGGTTTATTCTTCCATGGTTTAGCAGGGAGATCACCCTATGTACAGCTAAGATGTTCTCATGGACCACAGCGATGTGCAGAGCTCTAGGAAAGGAGAAGTAGAAAATATTGTCAGTGTTGAAGCAAAGAAATCACATAGAAAGCGGTCAGCCTTGTGACTGAAGAAAGGACAATCTAAGCTGGTCATATAAGATCGGATTTTGTTCCCAATTTGATGTATCAGATCAACACAACTGACCAGCAACTGCTGATGGCATGGAGAAACCTCATGTTCAACTTAGGTCCCGGCTTAGAGCTCTGACTCTTCCCAGCATTGCACAGAGCCAATGCTGTGATTGGGAAAAGCCAAAATGTAAGCATGGAAAAGAGGACATTCAGGGAAAGCTGCCCGATACGTGTGTGGAACACCATGATAATTGGACAGTGGTGGACTCTAGCTTTGGAGAATCTGCAATAGGGTGGACTGTGTGTCATAGCAGTATTGAGTCACGTTGCAGATGGCTAAATTCCTTTTGTTGTACCAAACCTCCTCACCCTACACAAAGAATAATAAAGCTGTAAAGCTGGTCATACACATGGCAATTTGATTGTGTGATTGAACTTTCACAGCACTTGAAGGCAGAATTAAGGGAATTTATCAAAACTGGAGTAGACAGAATCTGGAGCAGTTTCCCAGGGCAACCAATCAGCTTCTATCTTTAGTTTGTTCAGTTAAGGTTTGAAAATGAAAGAATCTGATTGGTTGCCATGCAGAGCTGCTCCAAATTGTGTCTGCTCCAGTTTTGATAAATCCCCCTCAATGACTTTAGGCTCTTTTTGGTTAAATGTTCTTCGGATATTGTTTTATTTTTATTTTTTATATTGATAATTTTTTTATTATTAAATGTTCTTAGGCTATTTTCTCTAAGCATTGGATGTTGCATTGGGAGTGGGAGAGGGAGGGGGAGGGGGAGAGGGAGAGAGAGCGGGAGAG